TCCATTTTAAATGTGTGTATATGAGAGCGAGGGAGGGAGAACAATCACTGACGTCTAATACCATGTTATATTCTGGGTTCTGAGATTCAGAGGATGCCTGGTGCATTAGTACTAGTTAAGACTTCCATGTACTTTATCTTGTAATTATGGCATTGACCTAAAGAGTTACCATAGATACCAGTTTTCTCAGCAAATTAATTAATAGTACTCCAAAATTTAATGTATGGATCTATTTTTGGGAGAAGTCTGTTAAAATGATCTGCAGCCAGCCAGGGAAGAAATGGACACCCTACAGATTTGAGCTCAAACTTATTCTCCTCAGAGCATTAGCTGTAAGTAAAATAATAGATTTGTAGATATGCTCAGGGGGCATGAAGAATTTGAATAGGGTTGATTGATTCTGAGGACTCTCCAAATATCTCTTTTCATAAATTTTTGTAAAAACATATCATTTTGAAGACGCATATTTAATAAGGTTTAACATAAGCTTTGAAAAACAGGATAGCTGGGCCGAAAATCAATTTACCAAGAACAATCAGTATAAGACCACCTGTCTCAAAAATCTCAGGCTTTCTGTTCCTCAGAACAAATGCATTAATTTTCTGCATCTGCAGGCTTGGAGTGATGAACACATGCAGTAATAAAGTCATTATGTAAGATTTATTGAAAGCAGTTGCCATCCCCCCAATATCTTTGCTCCGTACCTTTGTATAGAATTGCACTGGTATCTTGTATGGGAAACTAGGAGAATTTTAAAAAGCATGTGTATAATTATAAAAAAAAATGAATTCTATATATTTTAAGATTAAGTGGGATTTATGGTCTATGCTCATTGTAGAATACATGACTTTGAAGGATGCTGAAAAAAATTGCCACAAAAAAGACTTATACAAAGACAGTCTCTTTCAGTAAGGTACTTGCAGGAAAAGTTTTAGGCCTTAAAAGTCTATTAAGCATACAGCATATCTAGCATACAGCAAACTTGTCAAACTGGACTCAGAAAGTTGATAACTACAAGGACTTGAAATATAGATATTAGTTCAGCATTAAGATGTTGGTTCTATCTGAAATACATCTCTTTCCCACATAAATATTTTCCAAGTTTGGGAGAAAAGGAAATTTTTCAAAGGCAGTTCTGCAGTATGAAGTGAGATAATATCTTTTTACCCCATTGAGCGTTTAGTCATACATTCTCACTTAGTGAGAAAAATAAGCTTTGTACTGTGTTCTACAGTCATTAGACTTGCAGAGCTGGCACAGCTGAATGAGTGTGAACTGAATCCTGTTGTAGCCTATGCATCATCAACAAAATTAGATTTGAATGCAAAGTTATTATTGTCAAGGAAGAAACTATTTGATTTTCAGATTCCAGGTTTGGCACTAGATAAAGACACTGTTTAATGGAAAGATGAATGAAGATGAACTGCAGTCAATAAATACAGAATATATTCCTCCTTTTTTTATAAAGTAATTTTTCAAATTATGACCTCACCTTTAGGGACTAGGGAAGTATTAGTGAACAGCTTTAAAACACTGCACTGTTATATTATATTGCAAGTACAGAAATATTTTTGGAGACTCATTTACATCTGAGTTTTTGACAGTACTTTTTGTGTTTCATATATTAAAGCCAGGAATTTATGGAACACATGATTTGACTTGTGGTTCCACCATAATACAAAAAACACTTCTTGTTTGTTTCAATATGTATTATATGTATTGTTATGTATTATTGTATCTGTAGATTTCCCTTGGTCTTAGCTAAACTGGCTTTCTAATTATTGACTTCAGGCAAAGTTGCAGTGCCAAACTTGCATATGGTTTACATCAGTGGGTCTTGGCATTTTTAGACTTTAAGCACCTTTCCATAAGTTTTGTTAATTCAGCAGCACCCATTTTAAAAAACAATTTATTTGTTTGCAGTATTTTACTTCCGCATACAAGGGCTGAAGGATGGGGAGAAGGAGGAACAGGTGGCTAGGGATGAGTCTGGGCTTACCTCTTTGCATCCCACAGCACCCTTCAAAGGTGCCTGGTTAAGTATCATTGGTTTACATGAAGGAAGGCAAACAGTAAAGTTTATCTTAAGCTTGCTATCATACAAAACGAATTATATAATTTGGTTTGAGAATTATTTTTCTTGATTGCCCCATCCTTACATAGGTTCTCCCCAGGCAAACTTGTGGTCTGTTCACTCACACCATTTTCTACAAGGAGTATCCTGGGGGTCCAAAAGAACTAGACAAGAGTATCCAAGGTGGAGAGTTGTTCTTCACAGTTGTCCTCAATCCAGTAAGTACTACACCCATCTCTCAAAACGATTGAGCCATTTGCTGAATTAAGAACTGATCTCCTAAGTAATACTGATTTGTCATGGTTTGCAGTAGTTTCCTTTAAGGTTTAAGGTTTAGCATGGTGCAGATCTACTGTAGAATGTTATATTTGATACTACACTCCATTCTGCCCACTGTAAGATGTTATCATTGATGCTTAGACTCTATTTTGCCCACTTTGGTAGTGTCCACACACAATGTAGATGGTTCGTTCTCAGGGGACAACTAGCGGCAGCACACCTTGTATTATTGCTCGTTATCCCTGGGGAACGTCTGTGCCATGCACACTCTGGTGCACGGCAAGTTACCCCAGAGGTGATAGGGGAGGCTGAGGCCAGCACTGGGCTGGTCCCAGCAGCCTTACCTGGGGTCCTGGGGGCCTCCTGGGGCTGCAGCAGCAGCAATTCTGCCATTCAGAGCCTGGCCAGCAGCCGCAGTGCAACTCCAACTAGCCCAGCTCTGGTTTTGAGCTGCATGCACGCCACTCCACGTTTTTTTCTGTGGGATATTCAGGGGCCAGAAAACCCCTCCATGCTTCTCCCTTGAAGTCGAGAGGGCAACTGAATGTGCAGTATGTGGTGCCACAGACATGTCTGTGGCATGACATACCACACAGCTGCGCTCATCTGGATGTGGCCTCTATGGTTAACTGTGTAGTAGTTAAAAATGAAGCATCTGTCTACCTGGTTTTGCTCTGGTATTTTTAGATGTAGTAGGAATTTCATTTCTAAAAGTATTTAATGTGTTAAGAAATCTTCTTGTTCCTGCAAAAAATATCATAGGTGAAGTCCTTTAAATCCTACTCCTGAGAATTCCCAGTCATAAATGTTAAAAACATTAATTGGTTTAGGGGAGTCAGAAATAAGAAGTGACTTTTCCAGTGCCTTCTGAGAATTTCTCATTTACTGATTCACAGGCACAGTTCATTGCAACTTCAAAGCAAAGTTCCAGTTAAATGGACCACACAGTTAATCAGTCTGTTTAATCTTTCATTTATCCATGATGGAAAAAAACAGAGCAGCTATAAACTACAGAATATTGACAATTAAAATAGTGCTTTGGAGTGCTTTGCAATTGACTTGGGTTAGGTCAGATTTATCAAGACTTGAGATGAGACTCCTACCTTGCAGTTCTTGGGTAAGTTTGGCATGCAGTTTCAGGGGAACTGGAGTTAAGAGGCAAATGCTACAGTTGCGTTAGAAACATGTACATAAGGGCCATGCTATACACACAAATTAAAGCTGGATAGGTACCAGATATAAATTGTTAGACTTTTTGAAGCACTAACATTATAACTGGTCGGCTCTTTTTATATCTGGGTAGTCCTTTTTATCGTGCGATAATTACTTTGCATGTGTGGCTGGTCTAAATATATTGTGCCATTACCCAGTTAATTGCATAGTATATACAGTGTGTAGCAGGGGCCTAAGATATAGCATGATTAATTTAAGGAGAACCAACCATGAAAGCTGGAGCCTAGGGAAGCCTAGGACACTTCAGGTCCTTTGAAATTCATGGCCTCATCTGTGAATTGTGCCCTCTTCTAATACCAACTTCTTCAGTGGAAGTCCAGAGGGAAAATGTAACTGTGGATTATTAGACTCACAATCAGCAAACAAGTCTTTTTTGAAGTCTGGAATTCTTTTGCACATCAGTTTTAATCATTTTAGGGGTGTATATTTACTTATTCATTTGTTTCTGTTTTATATATTTAGTGTTTACATAGTGAATTTAAGAAATTAAAACTCACTTCTTGAGCACAGCGGCAGTCTCCCTAATTCAGGATGCCTGTAGCTCTAGCTCTTACTTTCAGGCAATGAAATAACATCAGATACAAATGAAATATTAGGCATCACAGTAGGCCATAAATTTAGCAAAGTGAGTACTTTGGAAGGGAGGCTTCAGTGAAAATAGAGGTGCTACAGAAAGTTGCTACAACTCTCTTCTCAGGAGTTTAGTAGGTCTTACACAGAACTCTGGTACCTTGCCAAAATGTGGACATGTGCTCCCTCAGTTGTAGTTTTTTCTAGCTGGATAATTGGGAATGGAAGAAAAAAATCAAAATACCTTCCATATACTTAACAGTGCCTTTTTTCATATATATTTTATTATTAATTCCATCAATCTTATTATGGTAGTATATAGAGGCCACCACTAAGGATCTGGGCCCCATTTTGTATGGTAAAATATTAGTTGTTACACCAAAAAAGCTTACAATCTCTGCATATGGCAACGCAACAGCCTTCTGACATAATAGGTAGGGCTGTGCAAAGCTTCAGTAGCCAATTCAATTTGGAGGAGATTTGGCCCGGTTCGGTGGCCAAATCTCCAAATCCGAAATGAATTGAGAGACCCATTAAAAGGTCCAAGTTGAATCGGAAGCCTCCAAATCGATTCAGAGATATTTGGAGATTCAGAAGGCCTCCAGCAAACAGAAACTGAGAAGAGGGAGGGGGGATGGGGTGATCTTCCATATATGAGGATGGGGAAAGACTGCTCTGATATTGACACTTGTAGCTGGCCAGTGACTGTGATCTTTCTCTGATTTCCCTTCCATTCACAGTGCTCTGGGGGAGGGACATTGAAACAACATATAAAGCTGTGTCTGAATTGATCTGTGCCTTTTTTTAGCTCTCTGTCTTGGAGCAGCAGCATCTGAAAGGCTCTGGCTTCCTAAGTAGTCTCTTGCTAGCTAGTCTCTCTTCTTGTAAGTTGTATCCAATCCTTTCCTACTTACCCTTGCCTACAGTCCTTATTGTTATCCCTATCCATTCCTTTCAACTTACTCTTCCCCCCAAATCCTCTTATTTGTTCTTGTTAGTCTGTCTTGATTCTTTCCCCACAACAAAAATAAATCTTTGTTTTCCCTGACAGTGTGTCATCACTGTGCAAGAAATGAGCATGTATTACACATGTGTGTGTGTGCGCGCGCGCGCACACACACACACACACACACACTTTACAGCACACCAAACATTATGAAGTGAGCTGGAAAGGCAGGTGCCAGGTCTTCTGTCAGGGGAGGGAGAGGGGGCAGAGGGAGAGCTGTAAGGTCCCCCCGCCCCAAACATAGATGTATCGTCTTTCCTGGCAGTCGGTGGGTAGTATAGCGTGGGATCATTTTGAAGTGGCAGATGATCCCAGGTATGCTACCTGCCAGCACTGCTGAAGACGGATCATCTGGGGCAAGGAGGTGAAACACTTCACCACGGCAATGCTGCTGCATCTCAGGAGGCAGCACCCCCATGCCCTTTTTCCTTCTCAGCTTAGCACCAGTGGGAGCATGCCGAAAAATAAGTCCCCCTCGCACTCCAAAGCCCCCATCCCTGGACCAGTGGGGGAAAGGCAGAGACAATGAGATGTGTGTTCCAAAGGTGATCGAGATCACCCAGAGCACTGGGGAGATGCTTGCTCTGGATGGCCAGCCCTTCTCCTTTGTTAAGCGCCCGGGGTTCAGGCGGCTCATAGTGCTCGTGGCCACATTCTACCAAGTGTCTGCATGCACCACCTTTAGCAGGACGATAGTGCCCTCCCTCTATGAGGCATTCAGGGAGTACTTGAGAGAGGAGCTGTGGAAGGCAAGTCCACTGGTAGCCTTGCACTTCACTTAGGACATCTAGAGCAGCTGAGGTGGATATCATGCCTACCTCTTCCTCACAGGGCACTGGTGCAATCAGCATCGGTAGGCTCTCCTTCAAGCGGAGGTGATGGATGAGTCCCACACAGTCAGGGAGATTATGATGACCATGAACTGCATGGTGCAGGAGTGGCTCGTTGGGCAGGGTGAACTCACCTGTGGGTTCATGGCCACTGACAACAGGGCCAATATGATCAAGGCGGTGCATGATGCCAACTTGTGGCACACAAGTTCCACCTCGTAGAAGTCAGGGATGCCTTAGAGGGGGACAGGGCTCCTGGTGACGGCACCATCACTATCAGCCAGCTCATTTCGAAATTCAGGAAGGTGGTGGGCTACTTCCATTGAAACATCAAAGTGGGCAAGATGCTGCGGAACAAACGGGCAGAGCTGAGCATCCCACAGCACAAAATCATGCAGGATGTGGAGGCTCAGTGGAACTCCACATACCTGATGCTGGAAAGGCTGGATGAGCAACAGAAGGCCATCCATAAGATGGCCTTGGTTGGGGAGATTGGGATCAGTGGCCCCCATAGCAAAATGGATACCATCTCCCAGATCTTGGTGGTCCTCAAACCATTCCTCAAGGCCACCAAGAGTGTCAGCGCTGGTGATGCCCTCCTTAACCAGGTGATCCCTGTAGTGAAGGAGCTTGAGAATGAAATTGAAAAGTTCCAGGGGATCATTGTTCCTGGCTGAGGCAAGCCACTTTCACTAGAGGTGCAGGCACTGGTGAAGCGACTGAAGGAGGGCATCAAAAAATGGCTGGATCCAGTATGGTCCATGTGCTGGTGGGTATGTGCAACCTGAGGGTGAAGGGGAACATCTGCAGCAGCAAAACCCTAGATCACTGGATGGAGGTGCTGGTGAACAGAGTCATGTAGGCAGAAGGGCAGAGGTGAGGGGATGTGGAAGAGGTGGATTTGCTTTTCTATGCCAGCACTCCAACCACAAGCCAATCTCTTCTTCCACAGCCGCTGCTAATGTGGGCCAACAGCATGGCTTCAATGTTGAGGTCCAGAGGCACCAGACCCCACCATCAGGCAGGTTGCACAGAGGCCTTGGTGGCTACCTATCTCACTGAGGATGTGGAGCCATTGCACTGTGATCCCTTGGCCTGTTGGGCACCCTGCAGCCAGGTGTGGCAGGATCTGGCCATGGTTGCTCGAGAACACCTGTTCTGTCCACCAACCAGTGTTCCATGTGAGAGGGTGTTCAGCATTGTTGGAAATGTAGTGACACCCCATCGCATCTGCTTGGATCCTGGTTTGGTGGACCAGCTGGTATTCCTGAAAGTGAACCTCCCACTGCTGGGGTTCCCT